TCTTTCTGATATGTTTAAATCAGCCATATTATAGGTGCACTTTATTTTACAAGTAACAATATAAATAAAAATTGTACAGCTTTATTTACTTAAAAACAGCTATTTCAACACATAAAATACTCTTTATTTATTGTAACTATTCAAAAGTCAATGTAAATTGTATTCATGGTTACTAAAGAATTTTGATTCTAAATTTCATTTTCCTCGATTTAATTTGAAAAGTCGTCAAGTAGTAATGAAGGTATTGAACAACGCACGAAAATGAAACATAAAATTTTAACTGTTATTTTAATTGAAGGCTTACCAGTTTATGTAAATAAATAAACCTAGTTTAAGTGTTATGTGAGCTCAACGACAAATTTATGTTAACCAAATCTCTTTTGAATGTTTATATTGTATATTTTTTAAATAAAAGCGCAGTAATAAAAAAAACTTTCTACATGATAACGTAATAAATTCAAATCACGGTAAATCTGGTTACAAACAATGATAAAATCAATATCCAGCTTAACGTTTATAATTAATACACAATACCGTTCTCCTTAAAACTTTTATTTATGTAAACTATAAAAAAGCAATATTTTATAATACCAAAAGTATCTGTATATACATTTAGTCGTTTGCCAACTATTTAAAGTACACAAAACATATTTTAATCTGAAACCATAAAAGTTATTCTTAAATTGTTAAAATTTTTAAGTAGTGAAACTTTTATTTACATTTTTCTCAGTACAATTAAAATTAAATGTATTAAAACACAGATCTTCCGCGAAAAGACTTTGAATGTACTTAAAAATTACCATTTTTCATTACATTAAATTCTATTGAACATAAATTTGTCTGAAACTGTAGCGTGACTTGAACAAATTTTATGGGTTTCGATATCACAGACTCACTAAAATAATGACTTTTGAACAATTTATAAATTAATCTTCAGTGCAAATTTAATATTATTTTTTAAAGAAGGGAATTTTTTCAAAACTGGAAACTATCAGTAATTAAATAAAATATCTGAAATTTATTTATTGCTACATGTTTAATTTAGGATAATCATTAAATCTTTCAATTTAAATAGATTAACATATTTACAATATTTAAAAAGTTGTAGGTACTCTTCGTAATTCATGTAGTAGTATAACGAACAATATCCAACCAGAACCCTTAAAGATGTAAGAATTTTGAAACATTGGTTGGTAGTCTAGTTAATCTTAGGTTATCAATATTCCTAAACTCTGTAATGTGAAACAATAATTTTAACGAGGTTTAAAAATTATTTATAAATAAAATAATTTATAATAAAATTCCCATATGTCAGTATGATATTTTTAATATTAATATTATTTTACATACAAGTAGCCTAATTTTAATTTGAAGTATCGAAAATTCGTCGACATGTATAATATTTTTATCACTATTTATCCAAAGTTACCCTACATTATATGCGTTAATAATTTCAAAAAATATATGTAAAATTTCATAGATTTTTTTAAAAGTTTATTTCATATTTTCATTTTATTTTCGAACTTAATATGTAAGGATTTGCAAACTATTCAAAATATTTACTAGTTCTATTCTAAAATATATTTTAGTTTATTAGCTTCGATGCGAAGCTGAGAAGGTATTAATTTTACTATGATGTGTTTTTTTTTTTTTTTTTATGACTGTTACCACTTTTTCTCAGCTCTCACTGGTCCGATTTCTTTCAATAATTCGCCAAAAGATTACAAATCGTATCTAGTTGAAGACATTACCTTTAAAAATTGAAAAATTTTCCCTCATTCACCGCAAATGGGGAAAAAATCCAAAAAAAATCTAAATTTAAAAATCGGTAAATTTTGTCATTTTAGCTTCGATGCGAAGCTGAGAAAGTATTGGTTTTACTAAGATGTGTTTATTTTTTTTTTTTTTTTTTGTGTCTGTTACCACTTTTTCTCAGCTCTCACCGAACCAATTTCTTTCAATGATACGTCAAAAGATCACAAATTGTATCTAGTCGAAGACATTACCCTCAAAAATTGAAAAAAATGCCCTCGTTCTCCGTAAATGGTGGAAACCTCCAAAAAAATTACAAATTTAAAATTCGCTAATTTTCGAAATTTTTTCAATTTTTTTTACTTAAAAGTGCCATAACTTTTTCAAAAATGAACATATCAATATAATTCTTTTTTATATAAATGTGTAATATCATTACCTTTCATTTGGTATATTTTTTTCATAAATTTAACCCTTAACCTGCCCACAAGGGGGGATTTAAAATGACAACTTTTTCACAAAAAATTAATTTTTTTAACTTAAATTTTGAAAATGTTCCGGAAGGTCTGACACTTTTATATATATCTTAAATTAAAGCTAATGTAATATGCTTTATCATGAAAAAAAAAAATTTCGGACTTTATCTTATCTTCATGGTGAAAATGGCTACCGAATGCTATTTTTGTGTGAAAATTTTCGATTTTGTATTTTCCATTTTTAACTTTATTATGCTATAACTTTTTGAAAAATGTATGAATCATTACAATTTTTTTATGAGAAGTAGTATTTATATAGATCTTTCATTCGACATACTGTTTTTTTAAATCGGACCATTTCCCTAAATACAGGGGGGATTCAAAACTTAAAAATGCATATAGAAAGTAGAACTTTTTCAACTTAACTTTTGAAAGTGTTCCGGAAGGTCTGACACTTTTATATATATCTTAAATTAAAGCTAATGTAATATACTTTATTATGCAAAAAAAAAATTTCGGACTTTATTTTATCTTCATGGTGAAAACAGACATCAAAGTTTATAAAAAAAATACGATTTTTGTAAAAAAATTCATTTTTATATTTTTAACTTTATAATGCTATAACTTTTTGAAAGATGTATGGATCAATATAATTTTTTTTTTATAGATGCATGATGTCTTTACCTATCATTTGGTATATATTTTTTTTATATCTGACCCTTTACCTGCCCACAGGGGGGGATTTAAAATGACCACTTTTTCACAAAAAATTTACTTTTTCAACTTAAATTTTGAAAGTGTTCCAGAAAGTCTGACACTTTCATATATATCTTAAATTAAAGCTAATGTAATATACTTTATTATGGAAAAATAAATTTTGGACTTTACCGTACGCTATTTTTGTATTAAAATTCTCAATTTTATATTTTACATTTTTAACTTTATAATGCTATGACATATTGAAAAGTATATGGATCAACATTATTTTTTTATGAGAAATAATATTTTTTAATAATCCCTTTTTCATTCTACATACTTTATCTTAATTAGGATATTAATAATGAACTAGCAGATCATGTAGCTTTTGGAATAGTCCATCAATTTTTTAAAATAAAACAGTATCTAAAGATTTGCATCGAAGCGTTTTTTTTTTGATAGTGATTTTAATCACTGTCAGATATCATCTACAGGGTGTTCAGTAAGTCAGGAAACGGGTATCTATTGTTCTCATTGTTACAAACAATGAGAACAATAGATACCCGTTTCCTGACTTACTGAACACTCTGTATACTAGTCCCATCTATGCCTTGTCTACACTGTGCCTATACCCCACTGTGCTGGGTTTATTTTAATTAGATATTAATTTTATATGATGATAGCATGAAAATTAGATTGAATATGGAAATAAAAAGTTTAGATTTGTGAAATATTACTTTATAAGATTTGCTTGACATCATTTTGTTGGTTAATTACGAAAATACTATTGGATTGATTGCACAAAATATTACCTGGGTTAGAACTAGCAATAGCATACTCTACAAATAATTAATCCCAAGGTAAAATATTTTTTGCACTATCAATTTATGGTTATGTAATTTGTGATTAAAACCGCGTAGTTGCATTTTGCAATCTCTATTCAGCCAATAAAACAAAAATTAAAAAAATATATATAGAATCTTCAGATGATTGTTTATGAAATCAAAAATTTGCTGTGAGAGTATAACAAGTTCATATCTTAAATTATTTAATTTAATACCGAAAATTTGTTTATTTCAATAACATTCCACTCATTAACATTAATTAATTTTAATGAAAATTTCCATTGAAGCTATTTCCACATATTAAAAAACGTTCCATAATTAACTGTTTTTTAAACTAGTTATAATATTATATTATTAAAATCTTGAAGATAACATATCATTGTATAAGAAAAATACAGAATGCCATTTTTAGTAACATACATATGTATAAGGGATAAATAAGAAAAGGTAACAATGCGAAAGTTTTATTTCTCATATATAGCTAGGAAATGGATTTTAGGATTTTGAACATTTATCTGGTATATTTATGAGTTGTAACACTGAAAATGAGTGTTTTGCCTCAATATCGACACTCCGTAGTAGTTATAAGGACCTTTTGTGTCTCAAAGGGATAAATTACCATGTAAAATATTACAAACACTGAAAAGCTAGTTTTAAATTATTGGATCTTTTTATTTTTTAAGAATTTTTTCTTTAAAGTCAATGATTGTAAGCTTTGTGCGCTTAAAATATGTTATATACTCGTTAAAAAAAACATGTCTATACCAAAGTTCATTCATCATAATAAAATACATTGACGTTAACATCCACCTCATTATTTATTTAGTAATATTAAAATACTATTTTTATTAAACAAAATTATATCTAATAAATAGTCTTAATTTGTTTTAAGACAATTAAGAATTAATAATGTTTAGTATTTGGAGTGATAAATAATTCTATTTTTTTCATTGATACATTGAATAATAAAATTGAATAGTAATTTAAATGAAAACATAATTCTAAATTGTTTTATCTAAGTAAAAATTAACTTATTATCATAAATTCCAAGTTTTGAGCTTTTTTTCATAGCACATGTTTATTCTTCATATCCATGGTAGATTTTTATTTTCATTTTACACATACAAAAATCCCACCTGCCGAGCATTTTTCTCATCAACAGTGACCATAATCATCACCTACCTGTGTTTTTATCCGTCCGCTGGTAGCCTAAGAGTTAAACGTAAGTTTTAGGCGTTTGCGCCAAACATATTCACTACGTCGGCCAACGGCGCTCGACGTGACTCTGTCTAAAGTCTTGTTGGAAACTGAGTACGTTACGAACACGAAACCGCATCAGTTGTTCGCGTATCACTTAGACAAGGTAAGATTATATTTTTAAATTACTGTTGATATAAAACATATAATACGATGGATAACTATCCTTAAAAATGTTCAATTAATATTATAATAGATACTAAGACTGTTATTTTTAGATTATTTTTACTGAATATTTTCTATTGTTAATTAATTATTATTAAGATATAAACAAATATTTGCATATTTTTTAACTGACAATATTTAAAATTGTAATTTATTAAAAAAGAAATATAAAACATATTACTATTTTATGTAGAAATCTTAGATAGTTTTTAAATTCTATAAACCGTAGAGAACACTTAAACATTAATAATGACTTATTATCAACTTTTTGACAATCTTTACTCTTTATGAAAGTACCAAAAAAAAATGTAGCCCTTTAAACACGTTCATACTGCAGAAAAAGAAGCATCGGTTTATCACTGAAACTACAAAATAAAAATCATGAAATAGCGAGGTGTACATTTTATTTCTTTGTTAAAATTAATGAGTAGTGACATATTTTAAAATATAACAAAAGATATGAAAAATGATTTTCTTTTTCGCTGCAACAATAATCTTAAAGCAGGTGTATTCTTAAATAACATACCTACTAGTCATATTTAATTGAAAGCTTTTTTGTATATGAAATTCTAATTTACATTGAAATAAACTATAAAAATTGCATAAAACTCCTATTAAGCTAATTTTAATACAATTTGTAATATTTTAAGCTGTCAATATTTTTTATCTTTTTAAAAGATTTTTAAATATTATTTTCTAAATTTTAAAAGCTAAACACAGAAATAAATTAGTTTTTGGTTAAGTTGATCACCAAAACGATTTTATGATTACAATTTAAGTTAATTTAAATAAATATAAAAACATTCCAAAATTAAAGTAGTTTCATAATGTAATAGTCACGCGATTATAATTTATGAGTTAAAACTGAACTATTATAAACAATAAAACTGAAACTAAAAATTTTATTAATTGTATAAAATAATAACTGACATACTCTATATCACTATTAAAATTTATCAAATTTTATTTCATAACAAAACAAATCAAACATTTTTTATAAATTGTTATAAAATATAAATAACCTATTTAATCAATGTACATTACTCTTGCTTAATATTGTTTGATATAAACTATTATTATTTTTAAAAAAATACCACTAGTCAAGTGTGAATGTATAGTTGTGTTAAAATACATACACTTTCGATATATTACTCATTACTCATAAAATTTAAAGCCAAACAAAGTCATAAAATGGATGATAAAGGGTAATAAATCTATAGAGAGTGTACAATAACACTCTTTACGACAATACAGGTAAAATAATTTTATTGCTTGATAATCTATTAAAATCCTAATTAGATTAACGACCTTTGCCATACATTGATAGTTTTGGGTAAAATATAACCATCGATTTAATTGTGAAATAAACTAAAGATAACCAATAAAAATAAATAAATATAATACTAAAAGAAGAGATAAAGTTTTCCACGATTTAATTTTCAATTTTCATTAAAATACATGATCCGAAAATAACAGAGATATTGAGTGACACTCAGTATAAGCTTGACAATATCTCGAAAATTAATAGAATATTTTGAAACAATAAAAAATCATAAATTAACTAATTAAACGTAAAAAAATTAAAAATTGTGTTAGTACATTATTTGGAAATTACAAATTTAAAAATTGAAAACTAATTATTTACAGTATTTCAATGATAAAAATACAATTAATATTTAGCTATATTCTGCTGCACTATAATAAGAAAATAAAAAAACTTTTTTTTTTAAATCGAATACTTAAATTTCCTAGTATAACAGCTAAAAGTTTTATTTATTAGACGCTTTCTTTAAAAGTACTTGTCAATTTTACTTGTTGGAGACATGTTAACTAGCATTAAGCTTTAACAGTTATATAAAGTACGTCACTTTCGTGTAATTAAATTTTCAATTCTAAAAAACATTATATTGACTATTAAAAACTTTGAAAGTAAGAATAACAGGATTTTCAGTTTTTAACAATTATCTTGAAAATTTCCTGAGCAATACTTTTAAATAATCTATTGATTAATCACTGCAGAGAAATGTTACTCTATAATAAAAAATGTCTATTCCTGTAAATAAAAATTCATATGTAAACATTATCAATTTAATTGAATTATTTTTTCAAATAAAATTATAAATACTTAATAGCTCGTATAAAATAAAATTAACCAACAAAACGATTGGTGAATGACAATTTTTGAACAATTAGTTCAAGATGAATATTTTTATATCTAGTCGGAGGAGTGGCGCGGGAAATAAATGCTTAATGATAAAAATAACCCACATCTCACACCCAGTCTATATATTAATTTAATATTTTAAAATTTAATAGTTACTTCCAAAACACTAGATTAAAAGTTTTATCGATAAGTTTTTTTTTGTCTGGATGATTTTCTATTATATGAACTAGTTAAATATGTGTTTTCATTTAAAAAAATGAAGTTGATACCTTTATAAGGTATAATGGAACTAAAATAATTGAATCACTTATAAATCGAAAAATAAACAACACTAAACTAAATCAAAAATATTTTCAAAGTTATTATTATCTAAGGAAAAATTTAGTCGTCAACAATAAATCAAACATTCTGTATTTATATCATTTATATTTGTTTACAGTCCTTTCTAAAAGCCATTGTTTGTCCCAGAAAAAAAATAAGACTCTTAACCGTGGTCTTAAAAAACATCACTGAACCAAAAATATTGTGTTACATACATAACGCCGATCGCCAAAAATTATTTGATTGTTAAATTGAAGGTATCATTTTTAGATTTTATTAAAAAATTAATCAACATTTTTCTCTTTCAATGCTGAAATTTTCTAATGATACAGTAAATGGAGTAATAATTCACTTTTGTACAAAATTTAGCTATTCTATATGTTTATAAAAATTAAAATTTAACAGTTGCGTCTATGATATTATGACTTCCTTAAAAACGTCATAAAAAAAGTATTGTTTATGAAATGAAAGCTTCATTAAACTGTATTACGACCATTAAAGCACTTATCCCACATGTATATTCAGACTGATATGCATAATAAATAAAAATGTAAAAATGTTTATAATTTCTGTGTTTACTCAGAGTTTTACAGTAAAAAATAAATTAATATGGTTAAATATATCATACAAACTGTTAAATATGATTATGCATAATCCCAAAATTAGAAACATTACATTAGATAATATTTGTAAGCTTTAGAAATTAAACATTTTGTATAATAATGAAAAACAAAATATAAAATCTCTACATTGAATTGAATACATCTATTGGTTGAATTAAATATTTGAACACCGTCTTATTAATTTTATCTCAAAGAACGGAAATATCACATTTAAAATAGTATAGTAACTTTGAGAAACGAGCTACAACCCAACTGCACTGCGCCAATGCAGTTAAATAATATAGTAAAGTGCTCATCTATTATACATAATATAAAGGTTAAGATAGGACTCTTCTTGTAAAACTCAATCAAATTATTAAGACTTAATTGATTAAGTTTCTTGGTAGTCTTCGAGGGAAATTTCCGAATATTATTACGAGAATCAATCGAAATTAATTAATCATCTAAGAAGTAATTAATAATGTTGATAATTTGATGATAATTAAAAACATTATTCTGATTAAATATTATTATTTAAAGATTAAGAATCAAACATTTTTCAAAAATTTTTCGATAAAAATGATTTTTATGACAGTCACTAGTTTTAGTTATTTGTAATAATTTTTTCAGTTATTTGTAATAATTTTTTCAGTTATGTGAAATAATTTTGTAGTTTTCATAGCAAATAAAATACATAAAACTTTCAACATGAAGTAGCCTTTATAATATTGATGAGCATTAGCGTAATTAAATGTCTAATAAAATTAACAAGTAAAAATATTATGTTTAGATAAATTACAATTGAGTGGTAGCCTTAATTGATTGTGTTCGTAGATTATACAATGAATTGTGTTTCTGCTGAAAATGTTCAAACTTTTTATGCTTCGGAGCATTTTCGATGGGATAAGCATAACTGGCAAAAGTCACGTTTTCATTAAGCTGCTCTGGGTATTCCAGAAAAGGAAAATATTGTGTTTTCGAACGGTTTATCAAATATTCACTCGAGGCAAAATTTCTCCACACCGAAACCTTATCACTACCGATGCCGCAAACCTTTGTTATTACACATACGTAGTTATGCAACTACTTCAACTTAGTCGTAAATAATAGTATACCGTTACTATAATATCATTATATTCGTTAGCAAGTTGGCTTGCATATATACACATACTTGGTAATTGCCACTCAGAACTTTTACAAGAGACAAATATTTTATAATGAATTTTATTTCCTTCTCATATCAGTTAATCTTCATCCAAAATTATAGAGATATGAAATTACGGCTTAGGTAGCTAAGTGAAATTCCACAAAATTACTATTTATTGTATACTGTTTAATGAATAACTGTTATTTTATGTAAACCGCAAATAAATCAAATATTAGAATATCAAAAAGGCTATACTATATTCACTGTAGAAATAGTTAAAACCATTGTATCTTCATTGAACACAATAAATAATTAAAAAATATTACCCAAATATATAAGTTCTTATTCATTTTATTTTTGTCTAAAATATTCATGTACAATAACTATTTTTAAACAAAGCCTTACCGCTATGACATAGAGTGTATTTAAGTACACCGGTCTCCTATGTTTGATATAAATGAATTTGCAGTTCTGAAAGGACTTAAAATCGTTTTATCTCTGTTTACAAACATACACCATGGGAACTTAAAACAAATCAAGTCATCAGTATGCCACTAATTTAATGACAAACATAGGCGGCATTATGTCATGCGGCAGATAAAATTTATTTAAACAAATAGGTAAAGCGTCATAATAATATGCTATAACTTAGTATGTATACATCCATTGTGTGTATATAACTTAATCAACAAAACCCGTAATCTATA